AGTGGAATCAGCTGCCTGGGGAGGTGGTGAGCTCCCAGTCTTCAAGCAGCGGCTGGACGAACATTTGTCAGGGATGCTCTAGGCTGATCCTGCATTGAGAAGGGGGTTGGAGTGGATGGCCTGTATGGCCTCTTTCAGTTCTGTGATTCTAAATCAGCTATGACTTGACAGTAAAAAGGGGGGGGGCAGAAATATTTGTTCGGTCATCGCTGAACATTTATTGTAATTTATAAGTTGCCTCAGAAGGTGTTAGCCTCCCATCAGAAAAAGTGAATAAAATCTCTTCCCTTTCCCCTTCAGCACGAGAAATACACCAGCCAGCTTCAGATGAGTTTTAAAGGAATGACCATGAAACGGGCGGAGCAGCTGATGGAACGTGGCGGAGAGACCGAATCCCCTCAAGCCAAGCTGGAGAGAGGCGACAAGAAAGCAGTTACAGGTACCAGTTCTAGAGAACCAGTCAGTCAAGGGCCGACAGAAGCCCTTTGGGGATTTCGATTTTTCTCTGCAGATGCTATTTTCAGGGAGTTGTGGATTGCTGGCAATAAAACTAATTTCTTCGTAGGTGGGCTGAAATCAGATAAGCACTGTGAGTGTGTGTGTGTGTGTGAGTAAAAGCTCTGCGTGTGAGTAAAAAAACACAAAAAGGTTGTGGGCTGAGCAGGTCTGTCCGCTTTCTTTTCCTGTTTGCTTGCCGTGTCTTTATTCTTCTGTGAATGAATCACAAACGACATAGAAACAAAGAGTTTCTGAGGTCGTGTATTCTTATGTTGAGGTTATGAGAAAGCTGAATCGAGTCTTAATAAATAGAACCAGGGGCAAGTGGTATTTGACAAGTTTACTATTACAGCTGATAGTCGGGATGCCAGCTTCCAGGTGAGACCTGGAGATCCCCTGGAATTACAGCTCACCTCCATATTACAGAGATTGTTCCCCTGGAGAAAATGGATGCTTTGGCATTGCACCTTACTGAGGTCCCTAACCTCCCCAGGCTCTACCCCCAAATCTCCAGGAGTTTCCCAACCTTGATCTGGCCACCCTATCCCCCCATCCCCTGCCAGGGGCTGGAGGGGACAGGGAAACTCTTGATAGATATTATTTTAGTTTCCAAGTATGAGGCCCTGTCAGATAAAGGGTGATTCTGCATCTGGCATTCGCTCCACATTCTCTCAACACTGAGGAAAAGGTGCAGCTCAAAACCACATTCAAATTTCCCAGGGCAATGTCATACTGACTGCGAAGTCACCCCTGAACGGCCATAAATCTATGCAGAAAGTACCATAAAACCCGATGATCAAAGAATGGCTGATTTCCCACAAGCGCCGCTCCACGCTCGCTCTTCCCTTTTGCCCCATGGTACGTGTCAATTTCACACAAGCTGCTGCGCGCCTGCATTTTGCCTCGAGCTTCGCGCGATTTTCCCAAAAAACGGGAAAAATCAGGTGAAGCTGGGGGGCAAAAGGCGGGCGTGCAGCAGCTTGGGTGAAATTGACACGTACCATCGGGGCAAAAGGGAAGAGCGAGCGCGGAGCAGCACTTGTGGGAAATCAGCCAAAGTGAAAGTGGCATGCAATGTAGAGGGAACCGTAAAATCCAATCATCAAAGAAAGTGAAAGCAGCATGCCATGTAGAGGGTACCATAAAATCCAGTGATTAAAGAAGGTGAAAGCAGCACGTAATGCCAAGGGGAATTTCTGTTCCAGTGTGGGTTTGGTATAACAACGGAGGGAAAAGCCAATGCAGAATCGCCCATAGTTTCCTTAAAAGGTAAAGGTTCCCTTGCTCGAAAGCCAGTTGAGTCCAACTCTAGGGTTGCGGTGCTCATCTCCGTTTCAAAGCTGAAGAGCCAGCGCTGTCCGACGACGTTTCTGTGGTCATGTGGCCGGCATGACTAAACACCAAGGCGCACGGAACGCTGTTACCTTCCCACCGAAGTGGTACCTATTTATCTACTTGCAATTTCTTGCTTTCGAACTGCTATGTTGGCAGGAGCTGGCACTAGAGATGGGAGCTCACTCCGTCATGCGGCAACCCGGGTCTCGAACTGCTGAACTACTGACCTTCCACAGCCTGCAGTTTTAGCCACTTGAGCCACCGCAGCTCCAGATTTCCTTAGTTTCCTTAGGCCAGAGGAAATCTTCAAACCTTGCTGAGTGGAGTCTTAAGATGTGAACCAGTGCAGCTGCATGTTCACCCACTAGGGAACCCCCCCCCCTACGAAGTGTATTTCACTGTGATTACAAGGCCTCTCCAAAATCTTCCGAGGGGATGAAGCACGGTCAAAACAGGATTAGAGAGAAGGTCTATTTCTGGTAAATGCAAAAAAGTTCTCTTTGAATCAGAGAGCAGGATTAAGATTCACAAAATCCCCCCATTCTCTTTGCTGAGAAGGCATTCGGTTTGTTATTGCAGAAGTCTAGAAAGGTCCTGCATTGAGTTAAAAGTGGAGTCTCACGTCTGGGTGTTTCCTCAGGACAACCCAGTTAGGTAGGGGTAGGTGGAAAGAGAAGGGCCTCAGTTCACCCAGCAAGTGTCATGGCCGAGGCCCAAACTGCACCGGATGTGTCTTCATGAGTCAAGTTGGGGTTTGTTTGGGTTTCCAAAAGAACAACTCCCTGGGGCTGTTTTGGGTTGGGAAAACCGCATTGGGGGGGGGTGTTTAAGCCTCTCCTCTCCTCTCCTCTCTGTCGCCAGCCTCCACGTGGGGCCTGGAGATCTCCCACTACTACAACTGATCTCCAGACAATAGAGATCAGTCTCCCGGAGAAATTGGTTGCTTCGGAGGGTGGACTGTACGGCCTTGTACCCCGCTGAGGTCCTTCCCTTCCTCAAACCCCATGTTCCCCATGCTTTACCCCCCCAAATCTCCAGGTATTTCCCAACCCAGAGGTGGTAACCCTGCTCCGTGGACGGTGACCCTGATATGTCACTGAGCCAGTTTGGTGTAGTGGTTAAGTGCGCGGACTCTAATCTGGGAGAACCAGGTCTGATTCCCCACTCCTCCACTTGCACTTGCTGGATGACCTTGGGCAAGCCATAGTTCTGACAAGAGCTGTCCTTGAAAGGGCAGTTCTTGAAAGAGCTCTCTCAGCCCCATCTACCTCACAGGGTGTCTGTTGTGGGGAGGGGAAGGGAAAGGAGTTTGTAAACTGCTCTGAGACACCTTTGGGTAGTGAAGGGTGGGGTATAAATCCAAACTCCTCCTTCTCTTCTTCTGCTTTTTCCCTGTGTTGCTTGGAGAAATAAGTCCTCTGCAGCTTTTTTTGTAGCTGTGGGAAATGTATATCAGGTGAGGAGAACCCAGAAACATCTTTATTTGGAATTTGAACTAGGGTCTCGCCTTTCCTAGTCCAGCACTCTAGCTACCAGGCTGCAAAAATACATAGGAATCTCTCGAGAAAAAATTCAAGTTTTTTGTAGCTGTGGGAAATTTATATCAGGTGAGGAGAACCCAGAAACATCTTTATTTGGAATTTGAACTAGGGTCTCGCCTTTCCTAGTCCAGCACTCTAGCTACCAGGCTGCATAAATACATAGGAATCTCTCAAGAAAAAATTCAAGTTTTCTGGTACCGAATAGTAGAATATCTTACCAAACACGATATTCTTAAAAAAAAAAAAGATATTATCATGATCTGCTTTACTTCTAGTTAGGCTTCATGTTTATTATTCTTTACTCCTCACTCTCTAGTTTTGGTGGACTTGCCTTTCAAGGATTATTGCTACTTATCTTAACAGTGGTGGACTGTCTGGGTTTTTGGGAATATGGGGCTACATTTCCTTTTGGTGCCTTTAGTGTACGGGTTTAATGCTTCAGTTGTCTTATGAGGTCTAACTGTATATTTTTATTCTTACTCTCGCTCTTTAGTATTGAAGTTTTATCGATCGGTTGCGTGTACCTGAATTTGTGCCTTCTGTCTTTGCACTGTAGTATGCTATGTTGTAACCCATGCTCTTATTTAATACGATGTTCTAGTGTTCTGCATTCATTGTAACTCTGATTCTTATAGTCATAAAATATTTGAAAGAAAAATAATTTAAAAAAACAAACAGGCATCTAGAGGCCCGTTGAAGAGGAGCACAATTGTATGTTCATGTAGAAACACGTTCCCCTTTAACGTGCCACTGGATTCCTGTTTATTTGCGTGGCACTATACTAACACGCCTGTCCCTCTGAAATCACTGCCCTGCATTGGTTCCCTCACACGAGCATTTTCAAAAACTGTATGGAATTAGGGACATTAGGCTGAGAACACCACTTCCCTTCTCCCTTCCGTCATTAGTGGTATTGTTTTCAGGGCCAGCTTTTCTGTAGGAGCTCTTACGGGTCAGAAGAGGACAGGCCGCTGGACGTATTCTTCCAGTTCACTCTTTAAACCAATCTCACTTGCAAATTTAAAAAAGGAAGTGATCCTTAGCGGGCCTTATGGAGGCTAGTCCGCGGCCGGGCCCGGCGACAGTGATTCTCGTGACCTTAATCTTCCGTGCGGCGTATTGTCCTTGTAAAAATCCCCTCTAAGCTGGGAGAGGGTATTAGCGTCGTCCTTTCGCTGCTAGTTCTTTACTTGCGTCTCGAGTTCAGAGAACGAGCGCATGTACAGGCTTCGGTTTCTCTCGCGCTCCCTTCGCTCTGTCAAAGGGATCTCCCTTTGCCGTCGAACGCCTGAGTGAGCCTGCTCTACCTGGGGCAGTTCCAGCCGACGTGACGGGTGCCGTACCGCATTGCTAGATGCGAACCGAGAACTCGCTGTCCGTCGGAGCCCTTTCCCCGTGATTAGTGTTGACAGCAGAGAAGGGTAAAAGGAGGTTACCGCTTTCTCAGCCTTGAAGGAAGCTGCCTGCCGGCGGTGGCGGCAGCTGTTCCATAAGCCAGATCTGTTGCCTCGTGTGGCAAAAACCTCACTGTGTACAATCCCCAGTGCCATTAATTTGCACCTGTCACCTGCCGGCTTGGCAGTCGTGGTGCCCCCATCTCATGGGCCGTTCGTTTGCAAACAAATGCTTTGGGCGGGTGTGTTGATAATTGGTGCCTATTGAAGAGTCTGCCAACATGGAATGCAGGGTTTGGATTGTGGCTGTGAGTAGCTGGACCCGAACCCAGACCAGAAATGTGTTTTCTCCAATCCACGGGGTCTCTCAGAGCAGTCACAGGTTTTGCAGCTCGACCCAGAGCATGTTACGCATTTGGGCGGGTGTGTTGATAATTGGTGCCCATTGAAGAGTCTGCTAACACGGAATGCAGGGTTTGGATTGTGGCTGTGGGTGGCTGGACCTGAACCCAGACCAGAAATGTGTTTTCAATCCACGGGGTCTCTGAGCGCAGTTACAGGGTTTGCAGCTCGACCCAGAGCATGTTACGCGCTTGGCTGAAGTTACCTCTCTGTTGACCTTGGAAAGGCAGAACGGTCAGTCCCCTGGTATTCATATCAGGCTTGCCCAT